ACTGGCCGCTAGAGGCTGGCTCCAAAAGGGAGTCAGTCCCATAGACCTGCCATGTTATAATGCCCAACTTTACAGCAGAAAAAGTTTCCAGCCTGGTACAAAGTGGTTTTGGTCTATATAGGTAATTTTGCCCTTCATGACAACTGTGAGGGGGGTGAATTTGTTTAACTCATCTGTTTAAATTATATTACGCCTTAAAATTCTGCATAATTAAGGGTGTGGCCACTTGAGTAACAGGTGGACTGCCGCTCTGCTCCAGAGTGTGAAACTTAGAAAAATGGCTTTAAAGACTTGTTTATCCAGAAAAATGTATTATGGGTAGGACACTGGAAATCTGGCAATTAGATGTTTTAATGAAAATGATCTCAAACTTGATTTTTACCATTATAGGTACTCTGCATTTGCACTGTCTGAAAAAAATTGTCACGCCAAGGCAAAAGGCAGTAACATTATATACAATATTTGGGTGCTGAATCACCATTTACAGAATTATTATAGTAACCTCTGTATAAAATCTAGTTATCATTGGCTAAGCTATACCATAGTAATGTGGTTTCTATTTATTTTTCTGACCGTAACAACCAGACAAAAAGTTAAACGTGAGTGGATACCGTTTTGCAACTAATTTGCAATGTTCGCTAACATTAAAGGATTCAAGACCTACTTGGCCTATTATTTTTTTACATTGAACTGAATGAAAATAGCTTATGTAACGATTGTTGTCCCCAATGTGGCCTTAACACATCAGTCACAAACTTTAAATGGACGACGCACACAAGACTCTGGTTGTCTGTTCTTTCTTTTATTCTCCGCAGCAATGATAATCGTGTCTGAGGAATACATCAAAATGTATTATTACACAGGGTGAAAACACTGCAGACATAAACCACCGCAGCAGTGTCAGCCATTTTCTGCTGAACTCCATACAACTTGTAACAATTCCATGTTAACAAAATAACAAAAATAAACATGAAAATCACATACCTGAGGAATACATCAAAATGTATTATTACACAGGGTGAAAACACTGCAGACATAAACCACTGAAATAAGAAAAACATAAAATAAACAAACTCACTCTCATTAAGGGTAACTGTGTGTTTTCCATTTAGCCATCTGAAGCTACATCAGCAGCAACATGTTAATTTCACCGCATGAGACACGAGGCACAACGATAAGTACTCAAAGTTTCCATCGGACATATGAACCCATCCAACTCACTGTACATTGATTGATATAATCACTACAAACGTTTACATGTGAAAAACTCGAACAACTTGTGGATTGATGTGAACGCCAGCAGGAATAATGCTCAATGATTGTGAATTAAACCTCTCCGATGTTCATTGCAATGGGTTTTTATCGAGTTACAAGAAAAGGAAGTAAACTGATTTAATTGCGAACAATTACTGATTTTATGTGATGCGCTGTCATGGCATTCGACTCCGACTACACAAGTCATTCTGTAATTTAAACGCGGCAGACTTTAATGGCCCGTTAAACAAAGGCAGAATACCGTATAACTCCAGACCTGCACAGTAATTGACAAATGGCAAAACAAATGCAGAGCACCGTAACTTAATTTGAGCGATCTAAAACAAAGTCAAAGAGCGGTAACTGATGATACTGTGTTCTGCCTTGGTTTCTCCGGGGCTTTTCTCCAAGACACTTGTACACATGATAAAGGAGGTCATATATGTCCCAAAATTTCAATAACTCCTTTATGTTTTGTCTTTGCACGGTAGCACTGCTGTCACTATAGACTGACGTGGTTTCAGCAACCAGGCACCTCAGCTTCACCCACATCCCACCTTTTGCCCCTTTTCGATTATCTGGGAGTGACGCGCTGCCAAGATGGTGGTGGTCAGCTCCGTCCACTTTAGGCTTCAAAAATGTTCTTTAGGAAACTACGAGTGATGTCACGGACACTACGTCCATGTTTTTTTAAAGTCTATGGTTTGAATTCATCCCTTAGGACCGTTTTAAACCCAGGATGGCTTTACAACAATAGAGGAATAATACTTGGAATATAATTCACTCTGTAGGTAAAACTTGCTATTTCTGCTTTGAGTGTTTCGTGCTGTATATTGAAGTGGCATACAGTCATGCACCGACTAAAACTGTCTATCTGTGTCCATACAGTGAAGCCGGGTCACTGTCCCAAACCGAAGAAGATTCAAGCATGTGCTGAAAGCTGTTTCCATGATGTCCAGTGTCCTGCCACACAGAAGTGTTGCCCAACCACCTGTGGCCATGCATGCCATGAACCACATGGTCAGGGAAGAGGTCAAGGAAATGGTCGGGGAAGTGGTTGGAAAAGTGGTCATGGTTGGGGAAGTGGTCAGGGAAGTGGCTGGGGAAGTGGTCCTGGTCAGGGAAGTGGCTGGGGAAGTGGTCAGGGAAGTAGTCAAGGAAGTGGTCGGGGAAGTGGTCAAGGTCAAGGAAGTGGTCAGGAAATGCCCCCTCGTTTCCCAGGAAAATGAAGTGTACATGTGATGGACACTTCGCACCCTACCGTATCTCAGAATCACTTGCACGCAGATGACGACCATGTTTATATTCAAAGAAAGGGGGGGGGGGGGGGGGGGGGGGTTTGTATAGTTTGGCTGTTTTCACACAACTGCTTTCTGGCAGCGGTGCTTTGTGTAAGTTCCTCTCCCAACCAAGAAATGATGGTGGAAATTGTACTTTTTAATGAAATTAAACTGCCAGTAGTGAGTGTTTAATGAGTTAGTCATTGAGTCGTTCATTCCAATGATTCGTTCTAATGGCAGATTCATCAGATGTTTATGCATGGGCTAATGAAACTTTGCTCAACTGATTCGTTCAGAACACGGAATCAATCAGCATTGAATCGGCTGATTGCTGTGAAGTGCGATTGTGTTCCGCCTAAAATGTAAATGAGCCTCGGACGGCCCAATTTAAACCCTGGTTATGGGGCCTAGAAATTATGTGGCGTACAAAAATCAATATCATTCACTGTAGATATGAAATGCATCATTTACAAAAAAATGAAAATCATACAAAAATGTGAGAAATAAAACCCCAACAGAAAATTTGCAAACATGAGCATATCAGTGGCAACCATTTCAGCATCTGCTGTTCCATACTTATGTTTTAGGAAAGTTAAAATCATTTTTTTTTTTCTTTTTTTTTTTTTTTCTTGCATTTTTGCTGCAGCTGTTTTCTGCACCTTTTGCAAAGTCTTTATACTTTTCTGTCTTCTCATGGAGGTTCTTCAGATGGGCAGGAGTGACCGATGCATCTGCCTCATGGGCTGCAGTCAGTTTCTCCTCTGTACCCGTCATCCATTTTTAAGAAGTACAATTTAAAGTTGTACTTTTTGAACTTTTACTAGTAAGCCTATACAGTATAACAATTCAGGAATTACAAAAGCAAGTGTCAATTACGAGTCAATGCTGTGATTGACAGTGATAAAGCAACGGATGGAACAAAACATCTGACGAGCCAATGTAAATTTTAAAAAAAATGGAGCTGTGCATTAAATGATTTAGAATAAATTCAGAGTGACAAAACTACAGCAGCAGCAAGTATGTTGGCTGAATATATTTAGCAGCTTCTACAGTTAAAACCCATAGCGACCCCTAGAGGACGCAGTGTCTCGTTCCCTACTCAGGGAACCATGGTTACATAAGTAACCTGAGACATTTTTAAATTAAATCTAAAAAAATACTTAAATATTTAATTGTACCATTAGCGATCATAAAGTTCTGTAGTAGGATTAAGAGAGAATTCTATCAAATCAAAATCCATACTCTTACAATTAATGCTTTTGCCCCTCCCACAAGATTTCAAAGACTTCCAAACAAACTCGTAGAGAAAGGAATACTTGCCAACCAATTTAAATGGTGTTCAGCAGCAAATTTCATAACGGATTCACTAACAAGAGACACATCTCCAAGTTATCAAATCAATTAACACAAATGTCTCAAATAAGCGGGAAAAAAAAAAGGACAGACGAGTCCCCAATTGTTACATAACTACGCATCTAGGGCTGGGGAGCCAGTAACAAAATAAGAAAATAAATAATATCTAAAGGGAAAAAAAAAAACCTATCGATACTCGAAACCACGATCAGCAATGCAGCGATTGAATGGTGGCAAAACAGCAACGTAATGACGTCATATCATTAAATAAGACACCTGACGAAAAACTTGACAAATTTCTGGACCTTTATAAGGAAACAAAACTACTTAAATTTTATAATAGATAAATGAAATGTGCACTGTTTTTATTTTATTTTTTTTATTTTTATTTTTTACATGATTCCCAATTATTTATATTCACAATTACTAGTATTTGTACAGGCTTTACATTTTTAGTTCAATGTTGTAGTTAGCAATTCATGTAATTTTATCTTTGAAGCAGATTTGTTATGTGACGGCATTAATTAAAGTTTCTTACGGGTCAAGATCAAGTTATCTGCGTCTCCTGCGCTCCATCAAGCCACTCCCATAATATCTGTCAGCACTCTAATGCACGACTCAGATTAACTGTATGTGTGTAAGACTCTAATACAATTATAAAGTTATTTTATCATGAATAAATCTAAATGAGTAAAACTGGCTGTGTCTATAGTATTATAGATTACACAACATTATAATAATTTTTTCAAATTAATTTTTTTATTATTATTATTTTAAATTATTGTTCCCGGATTAGTAGGGTACACTTGTAATAGAGTAGCAGTGGCTGGGATACATTATAAATATCAGTTCCACTTAAAGATCCAATCAAATCCTGTTTACATGAAATAAGCTGCTCCCTAGCAGGTTTAAGCTTACGGACCTGTTGCTATGACAGCAAGTTCAGGATGAGCTTCGAAGAACCAAACAATCCAAGATCATGCCAAATCATCAACAATCAAATCCAGCTAACTGAGTTAGCGACGTACGAAGAACTGGCCCCAGGGGAGAGCTAGGCCAAAATAACAAACAAAACCAAAATAACTACCCCAAGAATATTTATAAATGACCTAGAAAAAGATAATCCAAAAATAAAGTACATAAAGCTTCCCTCTCTTCCTGTCTGCCCCATAACCAGGAGAAAAAGAGAAGTACAAACAAAAATGGCACCTTCCCCCTAAATTCCCTTAAATCAAAAGGAACATAAAAATACTAGATAATATAAGACAGAAATAATCAAAAGGTTTTAAACAACTTCAGTTCTCTTTCTGTTCAAGAACACAACAAAATCCTGAGTTCACTTACTCCGAAATAGATCAACCAAAATCAAACAACGAATGAATCCATTACAACTGCAAATTCCTTAGGTCTAACTGGTACTTTAAATTTATTCAAAAATGCCTTATATGTTAATAAAACTCCATCATTGTTTAAGAGCTGGCTAACTAATATAATATTGTATCCAAACCAGCAATTAAAAAATAGAGATTTATTTTTGTATAGGATGTCTTTGTTATTCCAAATATAGTATCTCCTTGGTGAGAAATTATGTTTATAGGCCAGAGTCCATGCCATAAGAGCTTGTTTACGAAATTTTGCAAGCTTAACCGGTATTTTTTCAACTGAATAATTGAACTTCAACAAAAATTCGAGGTCACCCAACTGCTTGAATAGATAGTTGTGAAATGAGTTCCAAATACTGTCTTTATTCTTTAAATGTTGAATAAGCCAATTTATTTTAAATACATTGTTTAGAGTATCATAACTCAACACCTCTAAACCACCATGATCTTTGGAAATGTATTAAAAAAAATTCTCAGGTAATGTGACTTGTTTCACCAGATAAAATCAATAAGCATTTTATCCAGTTGTTTGGTAACTTTATGGGGAATATCCAATGATAACGACGCATAGACTGATCTAGAGATTCCTTCAGCTTTTGAAAGAAGTACCCGCCCCTGAATTGACAAATCTCTTTGTAACCACATGGTAAATCTCTTACTAGTTTTAGTAATAATTGGATTGAAATTCAAATCATTGTGCAAATATAACATTTTTACATATGTCAGCAATCACACTAGGAAGCTGAGGTAAGTGATACGACTCAACCGGTTTACTGCTTTCGACAGATGTATACAGAGCAAGAGTCCAATGGTAATTAAGATGGGTATGGAATGAGATCAAGGTTCTTATCTGTGCGGTGATTCAGTCTCTGTATTGCAGGTAGTCCCAGGAGCGGTGGAGTGATGGAGCAGAAGGAACAGCGGGAATGGAGACGTTGGAGGACCGTCGAGGTAAGTATCCAGGTAGGGAGTCAGGTAAGCTTGACATGGCAAATGGTAGACCAGACAATAAGCTGAGGGATCTGTGCACTGATATAGGGAGCGTGATGAGCATGGACAGGTGTGTGCAATCAGTAGTCGGGTGAGTGTGATCTGGTGAGCGTTGGGGGCGGGGACTGTGGTAGCTGAGGTCACTCAGCTTCTTGCAAGACAGGCTGAGACGTAGATCCCTCGTGGAGAGCCAGACTCTATCTCCTGGATGATAGACTGGTGCGTTGGAACGGCGAGAGTCTGCAAAGTCCTTGTGTCTCCTCACTGCCTGCTGGAGTTGGACGTGAGTTGCGTCCCAGACCCTCTCGCTCACCCGGAACCAGTGGTCCACAGCTGGAACTTCGGAGGGTTCCTCCATCCACGGTGTGAATACTGTGGTGTTCTGCTTGAGGGAGTTCTGTGCATACTCGGTCCATGGGAGGAACTGACTCCAGCTGTGCTGATCTTCATGGCAGTATGACCTGAGGTACCGTCCGAGCTCTTGGATCTTTCGCTCAATCTGGCCGTTGGTCTGTGGGTGGTATCCTGACGACAGGCTGACCGTGACCCCTAGGAGCTTGCAGAATGCTCTCCAGACATGGGAGATGAACTGAGGTCCCCTGTCAGAGACGATATCTTCTGGGATGCCATAATTTCTGAAGACATAGTGGAATAAACTTTCTGCTGTCTCCATGGCCGTAGGGAGACCCTTGAGAGGGATCAGACGGCATGCCTTCAAGAATCAGTCAACGGCAACCAGAATACAGGTGTTACCTTCCGAGATGGGAAGATCCGTGACAAAGTTAACACCAACGTGTGACCAGGGTCTCCGTGGGATTGGCAACAGGACCAGTTTTCCAAACGGGAGCTGCCTAGGGGTCTTGGATATGGCACAGACCGAGCAGCTGTGGACGTACTGGATGACATCCTGGGTCATACTGGGCCACCAGTAATGAGCCTGAAGGAGCGAGAGGGTGCGCTGGCTGCCTGGATGTCCAGATCCCGGAGACTCATGAAGCGAGCCAAGAAGGGATTGACGCAGGGAGGATGGAACATAGGTTTTCCCTTTCTGGGCCTCCCAGTGGAGCAGGCTCGGAGCGGGTGGTGATGTGGATCTGATCGTCAAGGTCCCATTGGATGGGACAGACCTTGATGGCTGGAGGGAGGATGGGTTCCGGTTTGGTGGGAGCATCCAAGGAATGGATGCGAGAGAGGGAGTCAGCTTTAACATTACGCTCACCAGGTCTATAACTGATGGAGAAATTAAATCTGGTGAAGAAGAGTGCCCAGCGTGCTTGTCATGGGTTGAGTCTTTTGGCACTTTGTAGATATTCTAGGTTCTTGTGATCGGTAATCACTGTGTAGGCGTGTTGAGCTCCCTCCAGCCAGTGCCGCCACTCTTCTAGAGCCAGTTTGTTCACGAGCAGTTCCCAGTTACCAGTTTCATAGTTCTGCTCTGCTGGGGTGAGTTTCCTTGAGAAATAGGAGCAAGGGTGGAGACGAAGAGGCTCACCGTTATATTGAGAAAGCACTGCTCCCACTGCCGTGGTTGAAGCATCCACTTCGACGATGAAAGGGAGTTGCGGGTCCAGGTGTTTGAGGACGGGAGCAGTGCTGAAGGCTTCCTTGAGGAGTTGAAAGGAGGCTTGGGCTTTGGGGCTCCAGGACAGAGACTTGGGCTTTCCGCGGAGCAATGAGGTTAGGGGTGCCGTGAGGAGACTGATGTTCTTGATGAAGCGACGGTAGAAGTTGGAAAGTCCAAGGAATCACTGGAGTTATTTGACTGATTGGGGCTGAGGCCACTCATGGATTGTTTAGACTTTCCCCTGGTCCGTCTGGATACCTTCGGGACTGATGACGTAGCTGAGGAACTGGACTGTGGTCCGGTGGAACTAGCATTTCACAAGCTTCAGGTAGAGGTGGTATTTCCTGAGCTGCTCTAGGACCTGCGTCACATGTTGGCGATGTTCGGCCAGGTTCCAGGAATATATCAGGATGTCGTCGATGTAGACAATCACAAAACGATGGAGGAACTACCGGAAAACCTCGTTCATGAACCCCTGGAAGACTGACGGTGAGTTAACAAGGCCGTAGAGTATGACCTGGTACTCCTAGTGGCCAGATGGAGTAATGAAGGCTGTTTTCCACTCGTCACCCTCCCGGATGCGAACAAGGTTGTATGCGCACCGCAGGTCCAGCTTGGAGAAAATGCGAGCTCCACGAAGTTCCTCGAGGGCAGCCGGGACCAGGGGAAGTGGGTATGGCAGCTTGATAGTTTGAGAGTTCAGGGTCCGGTAATCAATGCAGGGTCTCAAGCCCCCGTCAGTTCAGTGGTTTAGCCTACTACACCACATAAGTAATGAAGCTATATCAAAAATAAGCATGTAATTGTAAACATATTAAATTAAATTTAGCAAGAAATGGAATGCTGACACCATGAGATGTAAAACGTTTTACTCTGTTTAATTGTTTTATAGGTAGTGGTGCTCATGGAGAGCAGCCCACGAATGGAGCAGACACACAGCGATAGCCAGATTGTCCCGCACATGTTCTCCCGCTCTTGCCTCATGATTGTGTGGTTCAGGGGGGCATCATCATGGTCTTCCTCATCCTCTCTTTGTACTCAGGCAAGGACAGCCTCGATGTCCCTTTCCCATCCATGATCAGATTCCAGTCTGACTACAGCAATGAGGGTTGTGATGGACGGCAAATACAGGTGAAGGTGGACACGGTGGTCAGCTGCTTCATCAGAATAAGGTATGCTATGCGATGGCGCCGCAGACG